TCCGTTCTGTATTTGATTATTTGCTATTCCCACCACTTAATCTCTGCACTGGAACTCATTTGTTGTTCTTTGCTTTCTTCTAAAATAAGAGAACTTCCTGTGGGGACCGACCAGCACTTGAGACTGTAGTTGAGCTAAGTTAAATTGCTTCATTGAAGCTGATTCCCTGTGGAAGGCTTTTTGCGCAGCTCAGGGTTTAATTTTCGACCTTGTATATATGTGTAGGGGTCTCCTGAGGTCCGGTACACCTGGGTTATTTGGAAACTCTGGTCTAGGCTTGAGTCTTTTCAGCAAACTACACCCCCTGCAGTTCTGTATCCCTGACCATTCTCCCCTGAATGTTCCTGCACTGATTGGAGAGCAGATCAGCTGTCTATGCTGTGCCTCAGCGTTCCCCCGGTGGGCCCATCTCCTCTACCGTCTGTACTCCAAACACTTCCCATGGGATGGGCCATGCACCCTTGTGATGACTCACTGGCCTCTGAGTGGCTCCTTTTTTCTGTTGTTTTTGGTTTTTTGCTCCTGTGTGGGTCCACGGGAACCCTGTTAGTGATCTTGCTGGCCTGGGGGCCACCAAGGCCCTCTTCTCCCTTGCCACCTCCAAGCAACTTCATACGAAGGTCACACCTGTGGATTTTGTCAGGTCTTGTTCCATGTGCTCACCAGCTCCAGCCTTGAAACAGCTGGTGCTCGAAATGGTGGGAGCAGTCCTTTTCTCTCATTGTGGCTTCTCTTGCCTTCATGAACCCTGTAGGTCTCTCCTCCTCTTCCCCTGAGCTATATAGCAGCCCTAGTTTGGGTGTTGTTGCTTTTTAATAGTTGTAAATTGGTTGATTTGTGGAAGAGAGTGATGCTGGGGACCTTCTATTCTGCCATCTTGACTGGAAGCCCGCTATTGTTATTTTGAAGGCTTTTGCTGATGTAGCCTAACAGCAGGAGAGAGCCTATGATAATGAGAAAGGCACCAACCAAAAACAGCACAGTGGCAAGTGTAGTGGCCGTATAAGGGATCTTAGGAGGGCTTTTCTTAAACTGAAGGTCAATGTAGCCATCATCCGTGCTGGATAGCCTTGAGTATTTCACTTGCTACGGGGGATCCCAGTAGCCAGGTTGGTATGAGATGGAATTATAACACACTGATACAACTACATTTGGAGAGTCCCATCAGGCCGCCTGTGCTCACAGAGCTTGCCCATGGTTGGCAGTGCAGGCACCCGAGGCAGCAGGACATGGACCACTTAATTGCCCTGCTCTCCTCAGCAAGGATCAGCATGCCACCAGAAGTGGTCTACAAGCTTTTTAAATACTTTTTTGAAATATGATGTAACAGTTTGGGCAACACAATATAAAAACTGGACGATGATTTATTTCACTGTGGTATCAACCTTGTAGGTCAGGGGTTGGCAAACTTCAACTTGTTGGCTGCCGGTTTTTGCAAATAAAGTTTCATCAGAACATAGCTATGTTAAGTCATTTGTGTGTGGCTGCTTTTGCACTACAGTGGCAGAGTTGAGTAGTGGCAGGGACAGTGTGATCCATGAGCCTAAAATATTTACCAGCTGGCTCTTTAGGAAAAACTTTGCCAATCCCTGTTCTAGGTGATTCCCTCATTTTCCTTTTTTTACATTTATTTTTCATTTTAGTCTTTGATAAATTTTTACCATAGTAGAGAATAACTGATGAATACAGATGAAATAATACTTAGGATTATGAAATAACTCTGTTTCAAGATAGAAGAAAAATAAGGCAAGATCCTATATTAGATTTGTGAAAAGGTCCAATGGATCCATTTGGTAGTTGCAAGATGGTATGTATTCTATTCTGTTACTCAAGAATATAATAAATATTCTTTTTTATTTGGAAGGCCTCTAAGATGGAATAAAAAGATATCTGAGAAGTATTGATCATGAAATATCAGCCCTTATCCATAGCTAAATGTGCTATGGAAAAAACCTTAAAAACAAAAATTGGGTCCAATGGACCATGATAATACACCAAGGGTTAATTATAAGTTTATACATTGTTATCTCTTATCTTTAAAAAGTCATGTTTTTAAAACATTTATCCAAACTTTCTTGGCTATTTTTTTTCATAAGCAAACATTAAAAAGAATTTAGTTAACATTGTGATTCTCCTCTCAGATCACTTTAACTGACCATCTCATATTATTCTCCTCTAATAATTCAGTGTTTGATTTTCTGTTATAAATCATAGGTATTATAGCATAAATTTGTATTTTAAGGTAGATATTTGGACTTTATTTTTATTTTGTTACTTTTTGATTTTTTCAGTGTTTAAATGATGCAACTGAATGTGTCACTAAAGTTAAAAATTTGCCACTTTGAAAACCGTGTCATACTAAGGAGTAAGTTGGAAGTATTATATACATGTCACTTTCAGATTTTGAGAAATGCATGTTCTGGTCTCCTAACTAAGTTTGTATTACCATTTTAACCTTTATTAATCATTATAACCAAGGTCTTTGTAGTCCCACAA